ATGTCTCTGGGACAGGCTTGTCTACTGTGTCCAAACTGCTCATTGATTTCATTTCTGTCTCAGTTGTCTATAGCAAACTCAAATGACAAAATCATTTCTTCTTCTGACTTTATTGATTTTTGCCCAAATTCTCCCCACCATTCTTCCCTCCTCTAAGACCTCTGATAAAATATAGATCAGCACTTTATCAGGTTGCATTAACAATGACCCTGTTGTCTCATGCAATAATGGACCAGACCAAATCATCTATACTTATTTTCAACAAAGGACCTCACCAGATGGATTCCAGAATCCATCACTATTTGGGGTTTTCCATCACTACCCCAGAACCCAAATGATAACTGCTCTCTACAACCTCCTTCCTCACAGTGGCTGTTAGAGCAGTTACTAAGTCAAAGAAATATTGCAGATTGGGTGAACAATCCCTACAGCCTTTACCAAACATTCTTAGAGGATCTCTCTTTCATCCAGAAATCAACCAGTCCTCCACCCTCAACAAAATTAAGTCCCAAAAGTTTATGAAGGAGGGGAAACAGCAGAGAAGCTAAGAAAACTAAAAAACAAAGGAAAACTAATACAATGAAGAAATATGACAAAAGTCATAACATCTTATTCTTCTTTAGGAATATCTCTTTCCTTTTTTGAACATACTGAAATGAAATCCTAAAATGTAGGTTTATATATTTGTTTAGAACTTTCTTTAAAAACTCTTTAAAAATCCAAAGATGCAAACTACAAGGGACAGAATTATCTCTCCCACAAACCCATAAAAATAAAATTAAGCTGTAAGCGAGAAGGCATTGCTCACTCTCACCTTGGATTCTGTCATGTAGGCCTTTCTCTCTCTGTGAACACCTTATTCACAAGTTTTGAATCTGGCAAAAGATATGAAAGGAGTGTCAGAAAATACTCTTTTGCTTTTGGGACTTACAAATTACTGTTCTGCATTTTTTAAGAAATGGCAAAAAAGAATGAATATTTCATGCAAAAAGTACAAAGGATTATCATACCTAAATTCTCAAAGATAATGGCAGTCGAACACAAGTTTTCACAGGTTCTACTAATATGGAAAGGCTTAGAATCCAGTGCCGGTTACAAACTAGTTACCAGATTCTGTATTCTAACATGCCTAACTAAGTGCAAAGAGGCTCATTACTAGTAGGCAGAGTACTTGGTAACAAATACTTTGCCCATGGCAACCCATGTATAACCTGGGGTTCTAGCCTGGAACATTGGCATAAGTTTCTCATCTTTGGTGGGGGAAATGATTACTCAATGTTTCATTTCTGTATGAGGCATGGAGTTGGTGAGATCTTGGGAAAAAGAAAGATCCTTTTAATTGTAATTTACAGCAAGAGATGCACACAGTTTCAGAACAAAAGAGAGAAGATGAAGAGAATGAATTTTGACTAGAATAAAGTAGAGAAACTGTACACTGACATGTCTACTTCCTCCCAAAATCCTTCCCTCTAGGGGCCTCTCCAAGAAAAACTGGAGCCCTCTTGGTCTATTCCTGCCAGAAGCCAGAAGAAGAATCTTTCCTATCCCCAGTTCTGGACAACTTTATCCCTCAAGACGGCACATAGCATTGAATAATCATACTCTCTATCCATGAGGAGAGTCATGAAAATGAAAAAGGCCTAAACTCCAAATTACACATGAAATGCCTCCTGGACTGTCAGTGGGAGTGGCAGGGACAGAGTGGTAGAGAGGCAAAAAGGGGGCCAAAAGTGCTAAGAATCACAGAGTAAATTATAAGTTAGCTGTTGATACTCTGTGAAATCCTCATCCAATGACCACAAAGTGGACATTCTAGACATTCTACTGGAGGAACTGAATTATATTAATCTTACTATTTAACAAAAAGTGCTGGGGAAATTGGAAAGCAGTCCAGTAGAAACTAAGTATAGAACAACATTTACAACATATATCAAGATAAGGTGATATCATTTAGACATAAAGGGTGATGTCTCAAGCAAATTAGGGAGTGTGGAAAATTTTACCTGTTTTATCTATGGATAAGAGAAGAGTTTATGATAAAACAAAAGATAAAGAGGGTTATGACAGCTAAAATGAGTAATTTTGATCATATGAAATTTAAAAGGGTTTGCACACGCTAAACCAATGCAGCCAAAATTAGAAAGAAAGCAGGAAACTGGGAGGAACTTTTTTACAGAAAGTCTCTCTGTTAAAGGTCTCATTTCTCAAATACATAAGGAAACTGAGCCAAATTTATATTTTTTTAAAAGAGCCATTTCTTATTTGATAAATGGTCAAAATGAACAAGTAATTCTCAGAAGAAGAAATCAAAACTATCAATAGTCATATGAAAAAAATTCTCTAAATCACCAAAAACTAGAGCAATGAGAATTAAAACAACTCTGGGGTCCCATCTCACACCCATCAGATTGGCTAACATTACAGAAAAGGAAAATGACAAATGCTGGAGGCTATATGAAAAAATAGGTACACTAATGCATTGTTGGAGAAATTGTGAAATGGTCCAACCATTCTGGAGAAAAATTTAAAACTTTCTGCAAAGGGCTATAAAATTGGACATACCCTTTGACACAGCAATACCAATACTGGGTCTATACACCAAAGAGATGCAAAAAGGGGGGGAAAGACCTATATGTACAAAAAATATTTATAGCAGCTCTTTTTTGTAGTAGCAAAGAATTGGAAATCGAAGGGATGCCGATCAATTAAGAAATGGCTGAACAAGTTGTAGTATATGATTGCAATGGAACACTTTTGTACTAGAAGAAATGATGAGCAGTATGGTTTCAGAAAAACCCAAGAAAACATATGAACTGATGCAAAGTGAAGTGAGCAGAACAAGAAAACATTGTGCCCAGTAACAGCAATATTGTAATGATGATCAAATGGAAAGACTTAACTACTCTGAACAGTAGAATGATCCAAGACAACTGATGAACTGAGTACAGATTGAAACAAATTTTCTTTCATTTTATTTTTCTTGCTTTTTTTTCAACATAACTAATAAGGAAATACATTTTGCATGATTTCACATGTATAATTGGTATCATATTACTTGCCTTCTCAATGGGTGCAGGAGGGTTAGAAAAAGGAAGAGAATGGAGAACTCAAAAAAAAATCTAAATGAATATTTAATTTTTTAAAACCAAACTCTTTTAACACCAAGTACTTCACTTATCTATGTAAATGATGGGCACCTTATGGTTATTGAAACTATTTTTTTGGGGGCAGCTAAGTGGCACAGTGGATAGAATGCCAGCCCTGAAGTCAGGAGGACCTGAATTCAAATCTGACCTCAGACCAAACACTTGACATTTACTAGCTGTGTGACCCTGGGCAAGTCACTTAACCCCAATTGCCTAAAAAGGAAAAAAAAATTTATTTTCTTGTTCTTTTAGATTTTTGTTCATGTTCTCCCATAAGTTTGCTGCAGAAGAACCCCTCCACATGCTAGGGGCCTTCCTCATTTTTGTTTTAAACCTGCAAGCAATCTACCCATTATCCCTAGCTCTTAAAATGTAATTTGAAAACTCATCTTTTTTATCAATTTCCCTGATAATGTCCTTTAGTCTGGCTCTTCTTCAAAGTTCCTTATTTGTTATATGTTGTAGCCTACTCTTATGTGCTACAAACCCTTCTTTTGCCTTTTATGTCATCAATAAGTGTTTAATTCTTCAAGGACCATGTTGTTTATGTTATATGAAAACGTTGGTGGAACACTGGTGTTAACTAGATGGAGCTTTGTTTCTGGGAGAAGAGGGATTTCATTAAAGAACTTTGAAATTTCCCAAAGGCAATCCAACCTGTTCTCTTTCTTTTGTTTAATGCTGGGTCAACTCATTAAACAAGATCATTTCTGTTATTCTGTTTTTCATGAAATCTGAAATAATTTTGACATATGGATGGGAAATATTTTGTTGGAAGAGATCCTCTAAAGCCGCATTTTGTTCTACCAAATCAAAAGTTATTTTTAAATGAATGGTCAACAAACACTGACCATAATGTGATCTTTTATCCTCTATATCTTTCAGTCAATTGTATGATAAGAAAGATGCGGTTTATTTTGGAAGATTACTCGTAGAAGCCTACCTGTTCCTTACTAAGAATGTTCTTATCAAGAATGTTTTTAATGCATGTATAGATAATTTTCAGGAAAAAAATTATATAGAAGTGAAAGTAAGTGTATAATTAATTGATATTCTCAAAGGTAGTTGATATTCTCTTCATTCCCTACTCACCCTTTTTTGGTATCAGTAAAGCCTCAGTTTTCTCCTCACATTTTCTTATCTTCTCTTCTTTAAGATAATTGTAAATCAATCCTTCAAGATCCTCACAACTATTGCCTACAGCATAGTCTTTTTGATGTACACTTGATATAATGTAATCTGGCTACTTGGCAGGGGGGGGGGGGCGGGTCTTTTGCTCTTATCAATGAATTAGGCATGCAACTGCAAAAACTAGAAAAAGAAAAATTTTAAATCCCCAATTAAACACCAAAATGTAAAAAAAAAAAAGTAATTGAAGGCTTTAAGAATTCACAGAAAGGCAACTTAAGATAGTGAGGTAAGAGGCAGCTAGGTGGCACAGTGGATAGAACTCCAACCTTGGGTTTTGATATTTACTTGGGCAGTCCTTGTTCAAATGAAATAACTTTATAGTTTGGAATGTATTTTAAAAAGCAATACATAAAGGTTTACCACCAAAAAATAACATCCAGCAAACCTGAGTATAATCTTACAGTGAAAAAAAAATGGACTTTCATAAAATATATTTCTAATTATTCCTAATAAAGAGATCAGAAAACGTATCTACACCTGAGTAGATACTTTGAAATGCAAACACAGCAGTCAAGAGAAACACAGTAAGGAAAAATATATCTGAGCAACTGAAATATAATGACAAAAGATGATGAAATATGGTATTGTAATGATGAAAAGAAGTAAGTGTTCCTTCAAAATACAAATGCTTTCATGGATCAAAGAGGAATTAATTAAGGCAGAGGACTCGGTAGTTTTATTATGTTTTGATGATCTTAGAGAAAAAAGAAAAGGAAAGTATAACCTTGACTACCATTTATGAGATAGGTTTATATAATAGGGCCCAAATACATGGTGATTCTGCCCTGAGAAGATTAATTATTAAATGTGTAGCTTGTGCTGAAGTCCCCAGTTAGAGAGTAAAATTCTCTAACAATGGGCTGTGGGTGGAGATCGCAGGGAGGGCTAAGAAGACGTCCTCTTACATAGCTCCCATTGTGCTGTCCTGAGAAAAACAAAGGGACATATAGCAATATAAGGACATGGTTGATCATAGGTGTTTATGAGAAATAATATTAAATCTGATAAAGGCATAACAGAATAAATTTAAGAAACACAAACAGTAGTAAGCTGGAACAGGGTAGGACCTACCCATTGCTCCTCTCAGAGCTCCTGGGCTAGTTAGCACCCAAGATAAAGCACACACACACAGTCACACACACAAACACACATTCATACTCTTACATACATCTTCTTTGTCCATTCAGATGGAGGTCATCTCTCATAGTCTTACAAAAGGACAAGGCAGATGTGGTCACCACTAGTAGCTGTTCTGGTATCCTAAAGTTGCACTGGGATAAAAACATCACCTCTTCCTTCTTCTCTTCAAGAGTTTGCCCTCCTCAGATCCCTGTCTTTGTCTTGAGTGGAAAAACAACAAAGACAAAAACAAAACTTCTTCCTCCACTACCACTCTTTATCATAGAGCTAATATCTTTCTAATGTTTTCTTTTCCAAAACCAGGAAGAACTATACATCCCAGGAGGTTTTGTGGTCAGCCAGTGCTTTGCCAGAGGTTGTTACAAAAAGAAAAAGGAATACAATAAAAAAGAAAGTGAGAAGAAGAGAATGGGATTTATTATCTTATATATATATATAAGCATACAGAAGATTATAAGATATGGAGGAAGTGATGGTGAAGCAGGCTGCTCATGAACCTCAATTTCATCTAAACCAGATGAAGAAATAGAAAACTATAATACCTGGTTGTCTCAATCTACCTCCGCTCAGACCTAAACAAATCTAACCAAAAAATAAAAAAGAATACAATCAAATATGTGAATAGAATTTTAAGAAAGTTACACACACACACACACACACACACACACACACACACATATGTACGTATGTCTGGCAATTGTTAAATGATAACAGAAAGGGATGTACATATTTCTCAGCTGTATATTGCACTTTGCAAAATTTCATCAGGGTATAATCACCAAATTTGCCCGGGTATAAAAACCTCACAAACCAAAGCAGAAAAATAAAAATATCAAACATATCCTTTAGTGATCACAATGCAATAAAATTATCTTTGATAAAGGGCTTTTGGAGAAAGGATGAAAAAATCATTCAAAATAATAATTCAATCCCAAAAGAATTCATGGATCAGATGACAAATCATAGAAACAACAGAATATTTCATCAAAGGAAATGGCAATAGTGAGGCAACATACCACAATTTATGGGATAACGCCAAAGCGCTCCTGATGGAAAATTTCATGTCCCTAAATATGTTCAACAAAAAAGGAAAATAATGTATTAATTGTACATGCAATTAAAAGCCTGAAAACCAGCAAATATTTAAAATTTAACTGAACCCTAAAATGGAAATTATGAAAATCAAAGAAGAAATTTAAAAAATTAAATGTAAACATGAATTGATAAATGAAAGGGGAAGTTGGGGTCTTTTTTTGCAGGAAGGATGAAAATAACTAATTAATTAGGCTCATTTTTAAAGACGAGGGAACCTATTTGCCAGAATTAAAAATGAAAAATAAGAAATCACAAGTGAAGAAATATAGGAAATTATTATATTTTCCCAACAAAACTGATTATTTAGATGGAATTTATAAATATGTACCAAAAAAGCAGATTAATATATTAAGGAATGGAATATTTAGATAACTCATTCTAAGAAATAGAAGTTGTACAAGCCACAAATGATCTTCTAAAAAAATTTTTTAAAACCCAGGACCACACAGTTGTACAAAAGAATTCAATCAAATAGTGAAAGAACAACTAATTCCAGTTATATAAGCTGTTTGCAAAATAAGCAAAGAAAGGATGCTCACAAATTCTTTCTATGAAACAAATATGGTTTTGATACTTAAAAGAGGAAGATACAAAACAAAGAACTGGAACTAAGAGAGTGCTAGTTTTAGAATTACCTTCAACAACTACTAAGAAAATTTTAATTTATATGGCACTCTTTTCTGGTTTTTATTTCCTTGAGGAGATATTTCAGTAGGATCTGTGTAAAATGTATGTGTAGTCTAATCATTTTCTTAAAAATATAATTCCAAATTTCTTTCTGGAATAGTTGAAGCAATTCACAGTTCAACCAATAATATATTAGTGTGCCTTTCTTCTCAAATGCCATTTAGTATTGAATGTTTCCATCTTTTGTCATCTTTTCCAGCTTTCTAGATGAAAGGTGAATCTCATTTTCTTGTCTATAATTGTGGATGTTCAAAGTAAATGGATACCCCCATTTCCTAAGGTAAAGTTGTTTTCTCTCTTTTTTCTACACATCATCAATGACAGAGGGAATCATAAGCAGGATAGCCTCATGCATACATAATGACCACTAGTGAATATTTTAAACTCTCTGAGCCTCAGTTTCCTCATCTGTAAAATGGACATAATAATGCTAACTCTATCTCACAAGACGGTGAATAAAGGGCAAATGATGGAAAACATTGTTATGATCATTTTTATTACTTCATTATTCACTTTTTTATGTTGGGTGAAGTTCAGATAGAATCAATCCAAAGATAAATTGAAGCTGTTCCTTGCTGTTTAATATTCAGTGGATTATCCTAAAGGTGGATAAAATGCTTAACTTTTTATAACTGAGTGAAAGTGCTGAGATTAAAGCAGGGACATACTGGTGAAAAAAATTTGCATAAATGACACACTTTTAAGTTTAATATGAATTATTAACATTTTCTCTATCACTTTCTAAAATCTAGAAATCAACAAAATAATAAATCAACGTCTGATTTTAAAAAAGATGAAATCTCAGTTGTTTGATTTGTGTTTTTTCTCATTTGTGATTTGAAGCAATATTTCATACGATTGTTGATAGCTTAAGAGTCTCCTTTTAAGAGCTGTTTATTCATATCCTTTGACCACTTATTCACTGGGGAATTATTTTTGTTATTAATAACTTTATGTTCATCCATCCATTGGACATCCTTTTTTTTATCAGAGATACTTGACAGAAAGATTTTTTTACCTTAATCAACAGCTGCATTTCTTATCTTAGCTACATTGAATTTTTGTGAAAAAGAAAAAAAGAAAAAAAACTTTTTCAACTTTTGAATAATCATAATTTTCTTATTTTGTCTTTCTGTGACAGCTTTTATCTCTTATTTAGTTTAAAAAAAAACTTTCCCCCACTAATAGTTATGGAAAAGACCTGTGTAACACCTTTTTATAATAATTAGCTTACTTTAAATGTTGTGGACTTTATAGTGACCACAAAGGTCTACTTGTTTTCTTCTTCTAAAAGTTATGGGTGCAGTCACAAACTCTCCAAGCACAACATTAATAAAATTCCTAACATTTAGTCAGAGATTGGAAAACAGAAGCTTAACAATCATAACTTTGAAGGTAAATGGGTTAAAACAATAAAAGGGGGTTGGGGAGGGGAGAAGATGGGAGCCGCATAATGAATAAAAAAGCAAATGTATGTACATATATACATATATGTATAAATACATGTGTATATGTCTGTGTATATATAATAGTATGTATATGAATGTGTACATGTGTGTATAAATACTTAGAGTTTTTATTCAGAATCCACACCAAAATTATTTCACACATACAAGTATGTATGAATATATACATATATACCTATAATATGAATACTATGTGTATATTTATACATCTATATATCATACATACAGAATTATATGCACACAATTAATTGTGTATACATTTAAGTATTGCCTGAAAAACAATAGGTAGGGACTGGGAATTTGATTTCATTGGTAAAAGGAATACATATATATATTAGGGTTTTAGAGAAAGATATTCAGATCAATCACTGCCTAGAGTTCCTACAACTGGAAGCCTGAGTTTGTCTGTATCTGCTATACCCATTATAAGGAGTGGGCTAAATGTGTGGATGCTGACTGATTTTTTTTTTGTCTTAAGGATTCATCTGTAACTACCATATATTTGGGCTAAATTTCTGTTTTCAGAAGTTTTAGAGTTTCTGTGGTTTAGGGAAAGCAACTACGTTGCTATCCTGTCTGGAGGGCCATAAATTGCCCACATTTTTAATAATTAAAACATTTTTGAAATATTCATAATTTTAAAATAAAAATAACATTTCTTTTAAAATATACAAAGTACATGATATCACAATTAAAAATTTAAGGAGAAATACTACTTTTAGAATGGAGATTTAAGTAAGAATGGTTTTTATCTGTATTATGTACATATCCTACATGTATATTATGTATATTATGTACATGAATGTCCATGTATTTAAACATGGACAGAGGTGACAACCTGGAAATATTTTCACTTTTTAAACATTTGCTTCCTTTTATACATCTCTGTAAACTGTTATTGGGAAAAGTTACTATAAATGATTTTTATGTTTATTTACAGAGAAAAGATTTCTCTTTTATTTACACTTTAACAGTTGTCCACTTTTGTCTTAGTCCCTTCCCCAATTTGGTATTTTGATTTTACTTATATTTCCATGATTTCTCATTACTCTGTTCTGTACTTCATGTTTGTCTTTAGGCAGAATGTTGTTGGGTAGTGAGATTGGGCTTAAGTTGCTTGTATTAATATTTCACTAATTCATCATTTCCATGCTAATGACAATACAGCATCAAATCCTTGAAAATTCCTACAAGAAGCAGTTAGCCTGCTGTTTCATCAAGATGTAAAATGAGAAGGTTTTTTATGTGTATGACACAACATTACCTGCACAAAACACCCTGTATCTGCTATGTTAATATTTACTGATATGTTAATGTAATAATGACCCACCTTTCTCTGCTCTCTATGAGGCACATTCTATCTATAGGGATGGAAATTAATAACAGTCTCTCTAAGCTGCCTGATGTCAGAGCCGAGAAAGGTGTGAAGGGTATATAAAAGCAGTATTACTAGGTAGCAAAGGGGTGGGGGGGGGGATTACTCCAGAAGTGGATGCAAGCTTGGAATTGTTTCGTGTACCTTTCTTGCCAGCAAAAAAAAAAAAGAGAGAGAGAGCTTTTCTGATTTCTTCAGTCCTTTAAGCAGTAAAAGGTAAAGAATTTCCTATTTCTGATATTTAAAGTATGTACTTGTTTGGGGCAGTTGGACAGATTGGGATAGTACTTTTTGTCATTTATTCAAAGAAAAATTAAAAGGAAGATGAACCATAATTTCAAATGATCAAAGATAGTTTGGAAAAGCAAGGAGGGGAGTTAAGAAAAAATTAATTTCATGAATTGAAGGAATATAGCAATCTGAACTGTGGTCCTCCTTAACTATGAAGTTTGATCGGATTTTTTTTTTAAACACAGCTTGTGATTTGGGATATCACTGGAGTCAGAGCTGCAAGGAATTCTTAATTTCTGTTCTAAATCATTCTTTCCAAAAAAATATAGGAAGAAGCAATGTGCAATCTAAAGCTGCCAGTTGTCCTTATTGTGTTCTCTGTTGCTTTAAGCTATCTGGAGGCTACACCTATTGATAGGTTGGTAACTTTCTAGTACTTATTTTTTAAAGCTTGAGAAATCCATTATATAATATTTCCATGGGGTTCTGAATGATAAATCTTGCCTAAGAACAGTAAGCTGTTCAACTGTGCTTTGTATTCTGTGTTCTTTAAAGACTGATGTCAGTGGCTGGTGATCTCTCCTATAGAACTTCTGACAGACAGGAATGGATATTGCCAATTCTGTCAAGAAATACACTGTTGGAACTTAGTGGAATGGTGCCTGAACAAGAAGCAGGAAAAACAAAAAGGTATTCCTTTAGCTTCTCTTATGTTGTTGATTCAAAAAGCAAAGACTTCAGATGGATACATTTTGAACTGGGGAATAGCTAAATATTACACATATTTTGTGCCTGCTCTTTACTTGTTAAGTTCTGTTGAAGGGATTTGGGTAACTACCAAAACATTTAAATCTACTCCTGGGAAGTAAAATGTATAGATATGTCCAAGAGACAAGTTACATTGTTAAGTTAAATTTGAAAAAAAAAAATTTGGAAAGCCAGTTGTTAGCACCAGATGGGTTATATTGGGGAGGGATTTCATTTTTATCAAAAATTAATACATATTAATACTTTTTAAATACTCAAAATTCACATCAATACTCTGAAAATAGGAATTAGATCTGTGATTCCACTGATATAGGAACTCCCCAGTGAGGAAATTCCCTCTACCAAAAGCAGGTTGGCACCATCTCTATAACTTAGAGGCATAGAGAGCTGGCTAGAATACTATATAGTTAAGGACTAACTTTAAATGATATGTACTCCCATTATTCTATGGTATGAAACATTTTTAAGGGTGTGTTATCACTTAAATATTATCTTCAAGATTAAGCCCCAAGTCCAAATGACAGCTGCTAATTATGTTTTTTTCTGAGAATTTTTTTATTTGTTTGAAAAATATAATTCTCCCTTTACACCATAGAACCACTGCAGTCAAGGTGTCATAAAATAACATTAAGAATATTTGTTTGGGTTTAAGTCAACTTTGCCTTTACATAATTCTAAAGAGCTGGACTTAACATACCTTACAAAATAGAGAACAATCAAATTTACTTTTGCAATGAATTCAATTATTTGAAACATAACATTTGCTATATAGAATTATAGAACTAGCACTTACTTTTTTTCCAATATGTAAAAACATTTCTACATCATTTATGTGCTATATCAAGCAGAAGGAACTGACATATTCACTTGTCTTGCTGTAACTTACCTGGTTTACAAGGTGCCCTCAGAACTATAACTAGTTCTCAATTATTGTTTTTTCACAGATTAAAAATAACTCTAAAACTGACATGAAGTTCCTCTTAAGCTGGCAACACAATGGCATTATGACAGGAAAATTAGCAGTATTACTTAGTATTTTTGTCTATATCTTGAATCATTTATTTCATTACCTAGTAGACATTTACTGAGCACATTTATGAAACATGTCTCTACATAGCTTTGCCTGTTATTATATAGCTCTCACTTGGAGATGGAATGGTTACCCAGTTCACTAAAATTCATTGTCTTCAAATAATCTGCGTATTAGTTTCACAATCTCTTCACTTTAAATTGCCACCTAGTATTTATGTTTTGTTTTTTTAAAAAATTCTAGAATTTTGCTTTTAACTAAGATAGTTGAAACCACACTGCTCTGTTTGGTTAAAGGAGAAGGATTTAATCGTATGAAGTTCTTTAATTTTATTTAAAGCCTAGACAAACAATATAAATTCCAATTGACTTTTTAAAAATCAAACCAATAGCAAGTCATCAGCCTTCTTTTGGAAACTCAATCATTTTCATTTTTGATTTTTCTATTCATTAAAATTTACAATTTAGGCCATTTGTGTTGAATATCTATAAGTACATGAAAATCAACTACATTTGAGACATATAAGAGGCAAAGATTTGCACTGTGTATTTGCCCAGTCTGTACCTTCCACCAGGTTGAGAAACGAGAGACTTACTTTCAAGTCCCAACTCTGCTATTTAATAGTGTCACCTTGAATGATTTACTTAACCTCTTTTGAGTTTCACAGTCCTTACCTATAAAATGAGGGTTTGGACTAGAGGATTTCTAAAGCCCTTCCAGTCCTGATATTTTACGATTCAGTGGGGTTTTTTTCCTACTTTATTTCAATCTTTGAACAACATGAAGGTGGTTCAATTAAAACCTTGGGGTGACAAAGTAGTTCATGAGCCCTCTATGCACTCCTTTGTCCATCTTCTAGCTTACTGACCTCAGCATGTGAAATGCTACATCTTAATTGTACTTACCCTTGGATAAGACAAGTCAAAGATAGAAAGAGTACTATAGCAAAGAAAATGGACTCAACCTTTGAGATGGAGAGATTTTAGAGATCTTTATAGTTAATGTTCATAAATATTTAAGATCAAAATATCCAAAAGTATTTTTTCTTTTAAGTCACTTATGCCTTATAACTCAAATTCATGTGTCCCAGTGATAGTTCACCATTAGTGGGTAGCCAGGTAGACAAATAGACAGGTCTAGCTCATCTATAACCTAGGACATTAAAAAATGGTGGTGAAATGAACTCTAGTAGGATTTCTTGACCATCTTCATGTAATGGTAGTTAATTATTTGTTCACCTTACTGAAACTGAAACTATATGTTTATCTGAAATGTCTTAACAGGCAAGACAGTTCTACCATCAGGAACCAATGCTTAACATACCATATTATTTCTTCTTAAGGTTAATGTTGTTAAACATGGCTTTAATTTTGATAAGTTGAAAATTAACAGCTTGCATTTCTTCTTCCTCAATGGAATGTTAGCTCCTAGGGGGCAGGGACTGTTTTGCTTTTATCTTTATGTTCTCAGCCCCTAGCATTATACCTAGCAAATAACAGGCACTTAATAAAATCTTGATAATTTGTTGATTCTCAAATTGATGTTTCTAAACCAAGTTAGATATTTTTAAGGTAATAGCCTTTTTATCACTTCCCAACTTGGCCAAAGTCTCTTAGACATTTTGCCTATAAAATTAATTCCTTTTCCTTCTCCAGACCTTGGCCAAGCTCATGTAAGGGCATATCTCATTTTGAAATTTTCTAATAGTCATTTAATCTACAGCTATCTACATCTTTGAAAATTGCCTGTTCAAAGTATTTAGAACAAATTGTTCTTACTCCCAAGCCTCAAGATAAAATATAAGCTTGTTTCTGCTAGAAGGAAAGGTCTTAGTGGCCTCAGAATTTAAAACTATTTTCCAAGAGTTCAGCCCTCAGAATTTTAAGCTTATTAAACTGTACTATAGCTATATCTATACCAGAAAAGTAGAGAAGGGAATTATATTCATAATTTGACCAGCATTGGAAAATAAATTAAACAATTTGGAGGTAGAGTCTAAATAATTGGCCAAAGTGAATGGATGGATGGATGGATGAATAAATGAATAATATACCATTTATTAAACACTTACTATATATCAGACATTGTGCTAAGGGTTGGAGATACAAATTCAGTTAATCAAGATTGTTCCTAACCTAAAGGAGTTTATATTCTAATGGAGGAAAGAAAACATATAGAGGAGAGCAATACAAAGATTGAGGAACATACATGGCAGCATGGTTTGGAAATGTCCTGGAAATGAGGCAGAGGTCTGATTCTGGCAAGATTATAAAAGATCATATATCAGAGCTAAGCATTCCAGAGTCAGATATTGGCCAAGTGCAGGTGGAACTTCCTCCTCTCACCAGAACTTTAGACTCTGTCCCTTGGAGACTATGTTCTATTAGGTGAACTTTGTCTTTATGTGGGTTAGAACCACACCTATATATCACTTTCTAGTCATTTCCAAACCATGTTACCTGAACTTCAGCCATTATCCTTACCATAAGCCCTACTAAATTATCTTGTTTCTATGATGTAGATAGATAGATAGATAGATAGATAGATAGATAGATAGATAGAGGTACTTTATTTTTAATAGTTTTATTGGTGCCTTTCATTTTTACATCATTCATTTCCCCCTTAAAACTGTACCTATGTATAGCCCTAATCCCCCACAGAATGCATAGTTGTGATCAAAACAAAATAAAACACATGCAAATAAAGCCTACTGACAGAACAACTGCATCTGGCATTCTGGATCTGTAGTCTCCATATGTCTTCTAAGAAGAGTAAGATGGAGCAAATAGATGGTGCAGTGGATAGAGCACCAGCCCTGAAGTCAGGAGGACCTGAGTTCAAATTCAGCCTCAGGCCAAAAACTTGACACTTACTAGCTGTGTGACCCTAGGCAAGTCACTTAGCTCCAATTGCATAAAAAAGGAGGAGGAGGAGGAGGAGGAGGAGGAGAGGAGGAGGAGAAGAAGAAGACGACGAAGACATATTACTTTATCAGTTCCCAGGACCAAGATGGGCCAAGACACTTTACTTGAAACTTAAAGCTTTAGATCCCATGGAAACACTCCAGCTATCTCTACAAAAGGAGTATGACTTATAGAAATAAGCAAATACCCAAAATAACTGAAGTTTCTTTAACCAGTAAGCTCCCCAGTGGGAGCTACCAGTGTCAACTGGTGGAGTTCTATCTATCAATGCAGATTGTCATCCATCTGTGACTCAACAGATAAATATTAACAGAGTTGCCTGAGTCATAAAGAGGTTAAGTGATTCACACAAGGTCATATAGCTAGTAAATATCTGAGCCAGAATTTTAACCCCAGTTCTTCCTGAATCCAATTCTAGCACTCCATACATAAGAAAGATAACTGACACAAAAATAGCTTCTGAAATAAAAGCAGTTTATTTGGTCTAAATTTTCCTTGATGGCTCATATACAGGAAACAATATGTAGTTCAATTATCCATTTTATTTCAAGGACAGGGTGAAGTCAAAACATTTCCATATTTGCCTTGTTAGTGACTGAACTACAAAAATCAAGTTATGTTTTGGGGGATGATACTTTTTACCTCTGTATCTATTCTAGTAGCATTTTAAAAGCATGCTAGAATTCTTAAAAAGCAAATTCAGGGATGTAATCAGACGGAAACAAAAGTTCTGCTACAGGTTAAGCAATCTGTAACAGCTGGCATTGTCTAACTAAGCTACAGTATGATTTTATAGTTTTTCCAGAGTACTTGAGACATTATACTGAATAGTAATATGACTGATGTAAAAAACCTTTTAAATATAACATTTAACCTAGTCCTATCATTAAAATTATTAAAAGCATACTCTATAACTTTTTTTCAAGAGCCAAGTAGGTGACAGGATGATAGTAATGTTCATGTATTTATGCTAACAGTAATATAACTCCTACATTATAAGTCAGAGTTCCTGAACAGGTGGAATTCTGATTCCTCATGAGATTTTACAAGAGTTAGCACTTCTTTCTAATGCCTTACATCCAATGATCTCAGAGAAATTTACACAAGGCAAGTAATTCACTTGATATTCAATGTTGTATCTTAATTTGACATTTCATACTTAATTTATAGACCGTTTTAAGCTATAAGTAAAGGTCAGAATGAAAAAGTGTTTGAAGAATGTAAACCAAAGTCACTTTTTTAAAAAATTAGAGGGGCAGCTAGTTGGCACAGTGCATAGAGCACCGGCCTTGAAGTCAGGAGGACCTGAATTCAAATCTGGCTCAGACCAAACACTTGACACTTCCTAGCTGTGTGACCCTGGGCAAGTCACTTAACCCAATTGCCTAAAAAAATAAAAACTTAAAAAATTTTTAAAAATTAGAACTGGTTCTTAACGTACATACAGAGAAAGTGTTGGGAAATGTGATCTTGATTCAGAAACGACATGGGGAATAGCAATAGCTATATTTTCACAATGCTCACACCAAAAGTCTATGCCTATAAGATGCCATGGTACATAATTTTTTTAAGTTAAAACTGAAATAATTTACAAATGGAAAAATTGTCAATTATTTGAATAGTTTTCCTTCATTTTCCATGTACATATATGGTGCCTCTATAGTTAGCCAATTAGTGGATGATGTGAAAACTGAACACAGAAGCCCTGATTCCCTTATGCTAACTTTTAACTTTTGCTTTATATTCTTAGTCATCATCTGGAAAAAAGGAAATGCAACACAGCCACATGTGTGACGCAGCGCTTGGCTGACTTTCTAGTTCGATCCAACAACAATATTGGAGCAATTTTCTCTCCTACCAATGTGGGATCCAACACATATGGCAAGAGGGATACAGTTGGGATGTTAAGCAGGAAACCTCTGAATTATCTCCCACATTAGGGTGTCATATTGCTGTTGTAACTCTGATGAACTTTTCCTATTTCATATATTAATGTTCTTAGTGATGTCATGTATCACTGATTTGCTTTCTTTTGTGTGTGTTTATTTATAATGATTCTTATATTTGTAGTTTGCTTATATGTGTAGCCTAACATGTAGCTGCTTATTAGCATTCAATACAAAATTTATTCATAGAAAGAAATACATATTATATATATATATATATATATATATATGGATGCAGTTGCTGACTGTTTTTAATTAAAACATTTGAAAAAGACTTGTATACTTTCATAGACGAAACTTAAGAACAAAGGAGCATATTAAGATCATACTATCTTGTCTTGCTACTTGAAAAGCATAAATTGTAAAAAGCTAAGAGTTTTAATTCTGAATAGGAGTGAAGTTAGCAATTGGAAGAACTAGGCCCTGGCACACTTTTGGAAGCAGTCTCTGTGAGTGCTCAATTATCTGAAAAGTAATAAAATACTAGTTAAAACAAAATTGAATAAAAGTATCAAGTTGCCTTTATTCATTCTAGTTTTAAAAAAATCACTTCCTTGCCTCAGTTAATTTTTCCCAATCAAATTCTTTGTTGGCCCTTGCTGGTTCTAACAGTTACTTAAAAATCTAAAAGTAGTATGAGCCCATGAAGACTTTATTGTAAATTAATAATTATACTCTTCATTCATTAAATGCTTATGTCCTTCATGTAAGTTGGCTTTCAGCAAGCCTCTATGACTGCCTTATGCAGGATCATAATAGCAGCTTGTGTTCCTATTCATCACATTCTCAATTAAAAAGGTCATTGTCTTCTGGAAACTATATAACATATGGTAGTTTATTTTTCTGTTAGGCTTTTTTAAACTAACTAGACATTTTTGTGAAAGTTAAATGTGGAAAAAAACTCATTTATTTCATTGAAGGAAGAGGTTAGAGGTTTGTGACATAAAACTCAAGCATTTTACTTTAAATCAGACTCTTCCAGGACCTGTGCCATGCCCTGGCTACTTGGGTGTCCTTGGAAGCTGCAGTAATTTTTTCCACGTGTAAAGTGCTCTTTAAAAATTGTACCATTTCTAAAGACACTTAACTTACTCACATCTTAAATTTTCATTGTGACATGTGCCTTAGATGATCAAGTTTTCACAGTTTGTGATAGTGGCTTCTCCTCTTTCTTTGTGGTTGTATAGAGGCTGTGGAGAAGGTCTATTTCTTGATTCTCTGTCTCATAAGAACTGAATTATAGCAATTCAAATAAATACATTCACTCATAATTTAATAACTGTCATGTTAAATTACTGAATATGGTTTCTCTATCCTTTAAAAAAAAACTTATGCTTTATCCTTTCACTCCCTCAAACTATACTCCTATATTTCTTTTTCCTCCCTTTCACAGCCAGAAGTTTGGGGGGGGCGGGGGTGGGGTGGAAGGGAATATTACAGATAATAATACATACCTCACTCCCTGACTGTGGGTTAGCTCAGCCCAGTATTGAGCCCTCATCTTTTCCTGTAGGTTCACTGTTTTTTAATGTGGATAACTCTCAGATCTACATATGCAGCCCTAGTCAAAATAGATGTCAAAAAATATATTCCTAAAATTCTCCTGAAGTCTGAATATATCAGTGTCCTGCTTAATAACTTTCAATGACTTTCTATTGCCTCTAAGACAAAATTAAGATCCCTCAATTTAACATTTAATGTTCAATACAACCTGGCTATAACCTTATATTCCAAAATTATTGTCTATCATGCCTTTTCATGAACATTGTATTAAAGCCAAAATGGCCCACTCACTGCTCTCCAAACTCAGTATTCCATCTCCCAATCCCATGCCTTTTAGAGTAGGCTTTCCTCATGCTTATTTTCCTCATCCTCATCGTCATCATCTCCACCACATAGAATCCATAGCTTCCTGGGGCATCTAGGTGTCGCAGTGGATCGAGCGCCGGCCCTGAAGTCAGGAGGACCTGAATTCAAATCCGGCCTCAGACCAAACACTTGACACTTCCTAGCTGTGTGACCCTGGGCAAGTCACTTAACCCCAATTGCCTAAAAGCAAAAAAAAAAAAGAAAAGAAACCATAGCTTCCTTCAAGTCTCTGCTAATATGTCATATCCTGTACTAAACTTTTGACTGTTCTCTTTAGGTATTAGTATTTTCTCCCTCCTCCTCCTCAGATTATTATATATATAAGCAGAGTGGTATATACATGGGGATATGAAGAGTTCTCTGATTATTTTGATGAGCTTATAGGGTGGTGAACCTTAGTCTGAAACCATCATTTTTCCGTACTTTGTACTCTTTAGACTGTTCTCCTTCTAGGACTCTTTAAATGTCCAATTGATACCTTGTAAAGAAGACAAAAAGACAGCCCCTGCTTAAGTTTTAGTCACTAGGAATGCCCTTAATATCATTTGGTTGGCTTGGACCCTTGGGAGGTGTTTTGTTGGGAGAAGCCACCATCTCCATTAGCCTATAAAGTGAGGCAACAGAACTTTCCACATATGCCCTTTTTTTGAGGGGGGGAGCTTCTTTTCACCTTTCACCTGGCCCCTCCCCTTTTTTCCAGAGTATGTGAGGAGGGAAGAGGGAAAAAACAAAAGAAGACATTACTCCCTTATAAGACTGTCTTGAAGTACAAGCACATGGAAGTTGTGTATGCTTGATGGCAGCTTTTTCACCCAATCAGCCCAGAGGAGAGTCCTGAAAGTAAGTTTCCTCAAACCAGATGTCAGTAGCCATGGCAATGCTGGAATATCATAGAAGAGCACATGGAAGGAGCATGTGTTCATAGACAATGTCCCTTATTATTCTAAATAGTGTGATAACAGAATCTAGCTTTCTAGCCAGAGAAAAGACATTTCTGGAACAGCAGCAGTTTTAGAGGCTGCCCCAAGAGTAACCTCAAGTTCAAAAGTGTAAGTATCTTGATTTCTAGAGGGTGAAGTAGAGCTTCTGAGCAGTGGGCCTCTTGGAAAGAGAACAGAATCACCTGCATGCTTCCCCCAACCTGAGAGCTGGGGAAACAACAAAGTACTAAAGCCACAATATGGAAGAGCAAAAATTTTGTACTTTCTTTCCCATTACCACTGTAAACTATTTGGAGAATGGAAGGTAAATAGGAAGGAAATTGCATATCCAGAACCCTAAAACATGTTTTCCCTCTTGGAAGAGTCCAAACCAAAGGTTGACTGTACAAATCTGGAAGATACTGTGGGAGAACCTTGCGAAGGAATAAGGAATTCACTAGGATGTCAAGATACTTCCTTGCTGCCAACACTCAGTTTGGTTTTCCTGCTCAAAGAGTTCAAACCACAGAGTGATGCTGAGTGAGAAGCACTCTAGGAACCTGAGAGAAAAGACCCACAAGAGAAAGAGGAAAATTGTGTTGATTGCATGTGGGCTACCATCAAGTCCAATCAACAAGCATTCATGAAGCTCCTATATACTAGGCACTATGCTAAGCAATGGGGGACATAATCAAAGTCAAAAATATTCCCTACCTTCAAAGAATTCATAATAAGATGGACTAGGAAAGGCTTCTTGCAGAAGGTGAGATTTAGCTGAGACTTCAAGGAAGCCAGGGAATTCTGTCAGAAATGAGAAAGAAAAATTTTCCAGGAATGGGGGATTCCATGCCTGGAGTTTATAAATGGAGTGAGTGCCTTGTGGGAATAACAGTAAAGAAACCAGTGTCACTGGGTCATAATAATGAATGAAGGGGAACAAGGTGTAAGAAGACTGGAAAAGATAGGAAAAGTCCTTCAAGCTTGTACAGAAACTGGGTAGCTGGCTACCCACATTTGTGGAAACTTAGATATGAGAATATTTGGAGAATTTTCAGAATAAATTGTGGGTGAGGACATATGAACCAGGAAGATATGATTTCTTTTTTGTGAGGCCTGGAGGACTAACGTAATCCATTTGAGTTCAGAGCTTGGGGGAGGGTGGATTGGGAGTACAGATTGGAAGCCAGGTTACACTTATGTGATGTATCTGCTGTACAACCATCACTACCACCACCTTAGCACAAACAAAATGAAAGTATTATATGCATACAGCAAGTCCTGCATTCATTTGACCCCAATAGGTATTACGGACTTGTTTTGTCCGTGTTGTCACAATTGCCTTCAGACAGGATGCTTTTTCTTGGTCAGCACCTTGTGTAACTGATGCAGCCCACCTCACAATTCTAGGTGTCATTAATGTATGATTTTTCCCTGTAGAAGTAAGGCTATGTAAAAGTCCAAGCTCCTAAGTGGCATTGGATCCATTGATTATTTATTTTATGATGAAATGACCAGTGTAATCCTTTGTGAGGAGATTACTTCCCAAGCAGAAGAAATACTTCTATTAGGTGAATTGTATTGTAACCCTTTCAACTCGGATGTTTTGAGTTAAGTTTTATTTTAAACGTGCCACCTTCTCTGTAATTTTTACAAGTCTTACTGTGAAGACTTCCTCTTAACCCCTCTCTATAAGGGTAGATGTTTCTGAGATAACTCTCAGAATAATTACTAGAACTTGCACAGAGCAAGCCACCCACTCTGAGCTAACAGCTTCTTCTTAAGGTTCCTGAATGTGACATCTTTAGGCAAATTATGGAAAGCTACATAGCATAGGCTTCTAAACCAGATAACAGCTACCTGTGTCTAAGACTGCTATGGATGTTGAATGCAGAAAGAAACCATACTGCTCCAAAAAACTCTTATGAATTCAAAAAGACTGTTAATAAGTTTAAGTATATGTACCATGGACAAAAAGCATTTCTCAAACCTTCAAGTCCAAATCACCAATGGGACTTCACTGATAATCTATGGCAAAAACATGGCTTTTTCTCTGCATAAACAAGAGCAACCCAGCCTCAAATCATGCTGCTACCAAAAAACATTTGCCCAAAAACAAATTATTATTGAAGCATATTCTTGGCAAAGGACACTGCTGCTAAAAAGTCATTGCTATCCAACTTCCACAGAGCTGATGAGACATGAAGATTTATCAAAGGCCCAGGAGGAACACCAGAGACAGTCATGACTGAATGCCTCTCTATCATCTTGGAATCCCTCGAGTTGGATGTAGTCTTTGATAAGCCCCATTTAAATCACATGTTGCACTCTCCTCATTCATTTTTAGTGGTAAAGCACTGACGCTTACCATATAACCATCTATTTAGAAAACAGTTACTGCTAAAGGTTCAGGATACAGCAGAAAAGACTGGTCACCTCTCTAGCCTCTGAAGTTAACCCATCAAATCCAGAATGCAGTGATAATGGAATGTAATAATTATTTATCCCAGAAATGATTATCAGTAATTTTAACAAGCAATTGCAGGCAGTGACTTTCTAGTTGTATCCATTTTTCATGTTTGCTAAGTTACTTCAGTAGCTTCAAAAAAGTTCATGTAGCTCTCAAAGTTTCTTAATTTACATGAAGTAGTTTCAGGACTAGAAGAATTTAACGGAGTATGTGCCAGAGAATGTTTCTACAAACTTCAGTGTTACCA